ATTTTTCTTATCTAAAATCTTCTGCAAAGATGAAAACACTAGCATACCATTGTTAGCAACTTCAAATCAACTGTCTCATTTTACTGATCGTCAGGAAAGAATGTCCCAATTGAAGTGTTCAGAATTCTGCAGCGCATATATCTGCTTGCTCTAAAAATATATTTTTTTGTATTGTATGTGGTTTTTAAAAAATTATATTTAGTAATGGATCCAATTTAATTTTCACAATTAATTTACGTTAATTGAAAATATTAAGTATTATGGATATTTTATCATGATAAAATTAACTAAATTCAATTACATATCTAGTTAATGGTTTTCAGAAATAAATCAATTTTTATGTCTTTGCATTTCTATCTGGATTAGTAGTTGTTCTATTATAATAATCTTTAATTCTTGTTTTTGGTTTTGTAAATATTTATGAATCCAACTAGTATTGTCTTTTTTATAAATTAATCGACCACTTAGTTGTTTTTTAGTTTCTTTTGGTTGTTCTTGTATAGCTTTTAATTGTCTAATACATTTCTGATTAATTGTTATTCTAAATTATTTAATTTAATTTCACAAAGTTGTAAATTAACATTTAGGTTTCGAATATTTTGTTAGAACTAATTTGGTTTTTAAATCTTGCTTGCAGCAGATTAATTTGTCCTTGGATTTCTAATTTTTATTTTGACTTATCTGATTATTTAATTTTTCTTTTCCCGCATCGGTAAGCTTAATTAGTTAAGCATAAAGAGGATTGTACGTATTTGTTGTTCAAGAAAACGAATTTCACTAGAATTTAGGTCAAACAGTATTAGAGATGTACTAAATATATTTATTTAAAGTTAAATTTAAAAAATTTTAAATAAGGATTTGAAATCATTTTTCAATTCAACTGAATTGTCAAATTTAAATTTTAAAATCATTATAATTCTTAACGTTAAGTTTAATATTATTTATACAATATAAAATAGTTTGGATGCCTCTCCTGCACCATAATCATTTTTTTTTCTATGATCTTTTGTCTATCTTTTCGCATTATGAAGGCCAAGACGTTCAGCTTCAATAATGAACTTGCAACCTTCTGCAATATTTTTATAGCAACCAACCCCAGCAAGTAAATGTAGCCCCATTTTGAATTTGACTTGACATTTGAAATCATCATTGCCTTCATCTTTTATTTTTTCATATGTCACAAAAGCATCTTGGTAGTCTGAAGAAAAAGCAACAGTTTGGAATAACTTCAATAACACAATTTGATATCTGGCTTCTTCTGCTTTAAAATTTTTTCGAGCCACCAAATATTCACAGTACACTTCAGCTGATTTAGACATCGAAACTTTGCAATAATATTTAAGATATATAGTATGCTTTTATTTTATATATTTCTTCAAAATGCTCAAATTATTAGAGTTCTCAATACATTATTTTCAAAGCATTGTAGTTAAATAAAATGTGAATTTAATTGAAAATTCGATTAAACTTTGTTCTTTATTATGTCCCTAATAATTATTTTATCATATCATGCTATCAATTGTGCAGATTTATCAATTGAATAAATCTTTTTATGATAATACATCTTTTACGTCAACCTGCAATTCTGTTTCCTGGAAATTTTTTTTTTTATTGAATCTTATTTATATACTTTCTTTAAAATACAGTATTAATATTGCCAATAGTATCTATACTTGCTAGACAAATTCCAAACTTCAAAAAATAATTGTTTGTAAAAAATTGAATCAAGACAATAATCTTAAAATTTTGTAAATACATTGTATATACATATAAGAATATTTTTTATTACTTAAATAAAGCTTATAGAGTTAAATAGCAATCCTTACAACTATTAATATTTTTTATTTTAATTAGTAATTTACTAGTTAATTAATAAGTGATCATAATATAATATAATA